CTAATGTTTTTGTATTTTTAGTAGAGACGGGGTTTCACCATGTTGACCAGGATGGTCTCGATCTCTTGACCTCGTGATCCACCCGCCTCGGCCTCCCAAAGTGCTGGGATTACATGCTTGAGCCACCGCGCCCGGCTGCAACACTTCTTAACTTGTCATATGGCCTGATCTACAGGGCCTCTTCCCAGGGCACTTCCATCTTTCATTGGAAGAGCCTCCTTTCCAGCAATAGCACCTAAAACCAATTTCTTTTGGCTTTCTCACTGCAATTATTTTTTTCTGTTGCAATTATTTTTATTCTACTTCCTGACTTTGCAAAAATCTATCCATATGGTACTTTCTTCAAAACTTTCCCCAATCCTGTACTTGGTATATATTGTGTAAATATTTATCTATATCAGCCCCATTTGCCTGAATGTGCTGCTGCCCTGAGGAGTGCTGAGGATCACCAGTGCTCCCAGAAAAGCAGCTCTTAGGGCAGAGTGCTCTCAGAAGCACATCTGTCCACACTCTGGCAGGGAACCTCCCAACCATCCCATGGTTCCAATTCAATTCAACAGTTACCCGCTACATACAATGCCTGACACAAGGAAGATGCCAGGAATAGAAAAATGAACCAAATACAGTGCTTGTTCTCCAGGAGACAGCAGATGCCAACACAACTACCTGCAATACAAACTCTCATATACCTTTGAGGGAGTCCTAGCCAGATCACACGATTGTCTCCGTCCAGAGGCCAAAAGCAGCCTTGAATTCCACCCCCAATCCTTTCTGAGTCCCACCAACCTGAGAATAACAAAAACCTGCCCCTCAAGTTTAGCAAAATACTGGACACTATTACTTATGAAACACTGTATAAAGTACAAGCATATTTATTTTACTTTTTAAATTAATTTTTTTAAAGAAGCACAGTCTTGCTCTGTTGCCCAGACTGAAGTGCACGATCCTGGCTCAATAAAGCCTGGAACTCCTGGGCTCAAGACATCCTCCCACCTCAGCTTCTCGAGTAGCAGGGTCTACAGGTGCCCGCCATCATGCCCGCCTTTTACAGGCACATTCATTTTCACCTCACAATAACCCAGTAGGACAGATACTCTACATCCTCTTTTTCAGAGGAGGAACTGAGATTCAAAGACACAGATAACATCACCAAGCTAGGAATGGAACGGAGAACCGACAGACTCCAGGGTTGACATCCTTAACTACTATGCTAACCAGCCTCCCCAAACCCTCTAGGACACGGTACGACAGGTTGGGGAAGTCACTTCTTTCTTTTAGGCACTGAAGAAGTTTCCATTTCCACATGAAGAATTTCAGGGTCAACTGCATCTAAATTGCACGCAAGACAGGTGGACCCTCCCTTATCCAGCATCAGACGACCTGCGGAGGCCACGAGAACCAGCTACAGGGTACGGCGCCCGAGGGTGGGGCCCCGAGGCCTAGCCCCTCTAGTGGCCTCCCGCGGACAAAGTGACCATCGCTGCGGCAGGCACTTCCCCAGTGTGGCCGAGTCCCCGCGCCTGGGCACCATTCACCGTGGAGAAAGGAGTCGGCGCCGCGACTCCCACCTGGACGACGCGGGGGGCAGGCCAATGCCAGGGAAGCTGGGGGCTCACGGCCGCGCCCGCCTCTCCCCACTCTGGAAGGGCTCGCGCGGCGTGAGGTCCCCGGAGTTGCAAGGGCCAAGTGGACCGAAGGAGGACGACTGAGAGGGGGCAACCCTGCCCGCTAACCCCAATCTCGGGTCAGCCTCCCGGGCGCTCCGAATCCTCCCCCAAACCAACGAAAGCTGCTGCACCAACACGCTTCTAGGCGCTCACCTTCTAGCGGGTTCCAGCCGCTCAGCCACGGAGCACCGCGCACCGACACGCCCCCCTTTCATTCACCTGGCGCCCTCCGATGAGAGGCGGGGTTGCTGGCCAATCGCAGGAGCGCCTAGGCTCGTGAAGGCGGGCCCTTCGGCCAGCGGGGTGGTCAGTGGCGCTGGCGCCCCTCGGAGGATGCGCTCTGAAGGCGCCGGTGCTCGCAGGGTGATGGGAGTTGTGGTCTCAGCACTGGCTTTTCGGGTAAAGATAGAGTGGACAAAACTACAAGTACCAAGATGCCAAAAGGGGCGAGGACCAACGATAGAGAAAGGCTGCAGCTCGGTTCGGTCTTTTGAGTCCCACTTGAGGGACCTGCCAAGTACCGGTCTCTTTGTCTGGAGAGCGAAAAGCACGTCGTGGGTGTTAATGGAGCCCAGGGAATAAGAGCTGTGACTCATCAGTCCGCACACATTTCACCTACCGGCGCTCTCCGCAAAAATCTGGGAATAAGTGAAATGGTTTCAACGATTCAACAGGTTTTTATTGCATACTCGCGGTTACCTTTACTGGGTAGTCGTTGCAGAAGATAAACGATTCAGCTCTTCCCTTGACACGTTCTCCGGTTCATACATACTAGTGAAACGGAAAAATGGCAGTACTAGGTGCTAAGTGACCGTACAGGCGCGTTCTGGGACAGCTGTGAGCAAAACAAGGCAGCTTACCGCTCTGAGGAAGCTTAGTTCTAACGAGGGTGTATTCGTTTGCTAGGGTCGCTGTACCTAAGTGTCACCAACCGGGTGGCGTCAATGACAGATTTTATTGTCTCACAATCCTGGAGGCATCTGAAAACAAGATGTTGGCGGGGTTTGTTCCTTCTGGGCGCTGGGAGGGAAGGGTCTGTCTTCTCTCCTGGACTTGCAGATGGCCATCTTCATGTTCACAGGGCATTTTCCCTGTATATGTCTCCATATCCAAATGTCTCCTTTTGCTTGCAATAAGCCGGGATCACGCCCCTACACTCCAGCCTGGGCGACAGAGAGAGACTACAAAAAAAAAAAAAAAAAAAAAAAAAAAAAAAAAAAAAAAAAAAAAAAAAAAAAAAAAAAAAAAAAAAAAAAAAAAAAAAAAAAAATAATTTTTTTTTTTTTTTTTCTTTTTGAGACGGAGTCTCACTCTGTCACCCAGGCTGGAGTGTTGGTGGGTGGATAACCTGAGGTCAGAGTTCGAGACCAGTCTTGCCAACATGGTGAAACCCCGTCTCTACTAAAAGTACAAAAATTAGCTGGGCATGGTGGTGTGTGCCAGTAATCCCAGCTACTCAGGAGGCTGAGGCAGGAGAATTGCTTGAACCTGGGAGGTGGAGATCGCAGTGAGCGGAGATCCAGCCACTGCACTTCAGCTTGGGCAGCAGAGCAAGGCTCTGTCTCAAAACAAAACAAAAAAAGGCTGCGGTGGCTTACGCCTGTAATCCCAGCACTTTGGGAAGCTAAGGAGAACAGATCACAAGGTCAGGAGTTCGAGACCAGCCTGATCAACATGTTGAAACCCCGTTTCTACTAAAAACACAAAAATTGGCTGGCCATGGTGGCGCATGCCTGTAATCCCAGCTACTCAGGAGGCTGAGGCAGTAGAATTACTTAAATCTGGGAGGTGGAGGTTATAGTGAGCCAAGATCACGCCACTGCACTCCAGCCTGGGTGACAGAGACTCTGTCTCAAAAAAAAAAATGGCTACCCTTTCCACTAAGGCCCTGTTGAGGAGTAGTGAACCATGCTAAGATGAAACAGAAAACTGGTTGGTACATGTCTAAGAAACAAGAGGATGCCATTGCGGTGAGGAAGTGGATGGCAGGTAGACCAGCTTCATGGGCATGCAACCCATGTGGTGGCACAGGGCTGCACACTCAGAAAGGGCTGGTGCTTCCAGGTGAGCTTTCTTACTTTAAAAAAAAAGAGACCTGTGTCCGCCTGGCCACAGTCCACTCTCCCAGGGCCGAGCTGCTGCAGGCCGCTTAGGTGCCTAGGGGATCCATGGGCAACAGCAAGGGCCACAATGGCAGATTACAGTGAGGAGCAGTGCAAAGAGCTGGAGACTCGGGAGTCCATCTACCCTGACTCCTTCACAGGCAGATGTCTCTCAGCTACCCCTGTGCATGTTCTCTCTCACCAGTAGTACGTCTGTGCTGTGAGGATGTTAAGGGAATGAGTGAAGAGGGATTCGAGAGTATCCTTAACTAGCTTGATTGCACATTGATCCAACCCTCTGAACAACTAGTCTTCCAAAACATAAATGGACTCTTCTGATACCACATTCTCCTTCAGTAGTGCTTCACTTGACAAGGTCCTGCTAAGTATTATCAGAAAATTCACCCAGCTTCGCCATTACTGTGACATCTAAGCTGGAGAAAATGATGAAACTGTCCAGACTACCCTCAAGTTTACATACAGTGAAAAATATCCAGATGAAGCTCCTCATTATGAAATATTCTCCCAGGAAAATCTAGAAGATAATAATGTCTCAGACATTTTAAAATTACTAGTATTACAGGCTGAAGGAAATCTTGGTGTGGTGATGATCCTTACTCTAGTGAGAGCTGTGCAAGAAAAATTAAATGAAATAGTAGATCAGATAAAAACCAGAAAAGAAGAAGAAAAGAAACAGAAAAGAAGCAGAAGAAGCTGGAAACCAATTATTTCATGGCACTCCAGTTACAAATGCGAATTTCTTAAATTGGAAGGCCAAGTTTGATGGAGAACTCTTGGAAATTAAAAAGAAAAGGATGAAAGAAGGAGAAGCAGGAAAAAATAAATTAAGTGGGAAACAGCTATTTGAAACAGATCATAATCTTGACACATCTGATATCCAGTTCTTGGAGGATGCTGGAAACAATGTGGAGGTAGATGAGTCTTTGTTCCAAGAAATGGATGACTTGGAGCTGGAGGATGATGAAGATGACTACAATCCTGCTGACCCGGAGAGTGACTCAGTGGACTAATGGACTGTCCCCATCTGCAGAGAGGCTTGACTGCCACAGCATCTGTGGCTGTGCTCAGAGGGTTTTGATTTTCCTTTCTTTTTTTCTAGAAAAAAATTACTTTCAGGAGAATATTCTTCTGATAGCTTTCATCATCGAACTTAATAAACTTACTTTAAAATTAAAAAAAAAGAGCCAGGTGCGGCAGCTCACACCTGTACTCCCAGCACTTTGGGAGGCTGAGGTGGTAAGATCAGTGGAGAGCAACCTGGCAACATGGCAAAACTGAGTCTCTACTAAATATGCAAAAATTAGCTGGGCATGGTGGCACATACCTGTAATCCCGGCCAATTGGGAGGCTGAGGCATGAGAATCACTTGAACTTGGAAGGTGGAGGTGGCAGTGAGTGGAGATTGCACCACTGCACTCCAGCCTGGACAACAGAGCGAGACTCTGTCTCCAAAAAAAAAAAGAAGAAGAAGAAAGAAAGAAAATTAAATTAGTAATAAATAAAAAGAACAAAATCTAAATAAATATTTTTAAAAGGGGGCTGGTTCCTGGTTTAATGCTCTGCCATTGCCCTCTTACTATTTTTTTTTTTTTTGAGATGGAGTCTTGTTCTGTTGGAATCTTGCTCTGTCGCCCAGGCTGGAATGCAGCGGCATGATCTTGGCTCACTGCAACCTCTGCCTCCCAGGTTTAAGCGATTGTCCTGCCTCACCTTTCCAAGTAGTTGAGATTACAGGTGCATGTCACCATACCTGCCTAATTTTTTGTATTTTTTAGTGGAGATGGGATTTCACCATGTTAGTCAGGACAGTCTCAATCTCCTGACCTCATGATCCACCCAACTCTGCCTCCCAAAGTGCTGGGATTACAGACGTGAGCCACCGTGCCTGGCACCCTCTTACAATTCTCAATAGTTTTGGAACAACGAACTCTGCATTTTCATTTTGCACTGGGCACCCCCCAAATTATGTAGCCAGTCCAGGTAACTGGAAATATGAGTGGATAAAGAAGCAAAGGCCAGATTACATAGGAATTTGTAGGCCACCTTAAGGAGTTTGGATTTTTTCTTATAATGTGAAGGGACACCTTTGAAGTGTCTTAAGCAGGGAGGAATTAAGACATAATCTCTCCCCTGCTGATAGATGCTGATAGCTGGGGATAGGGTAGAGGTGGTAGAGATGGAGGAGCTGGTTTAGGAGCTATTTTAGAGCTTGTCAGAAACGTAATTGCAGTTCACTCTAAAGGTAACTTAATAATTTTAGGTGGTAAAATGTCAGACAAACACCACTATACTATCTATCAAAGAAAAGCAGTTTACATGTCTTTTGTAAAGCTGGATACCCAGAGAAAGACAGCAGCAGTTACATCTTTCCTCTCAGTGTGACTCTCCTTGCCACCCAGTTCCCAAAGGCCAGCTTGGGGCTGAGGACTTTTGATCATCATGGCAGTGGGGAAAGCATCAGAAGTGAGGAACACCAAGTTTCTCTGGGCTCAGCCTTTTGTATCTTCTAACCTGGGAAATCGTGTCATTGATGCCTTCACCTTAGCTACAACTCTACCTAGAACTTACCCTGGTATTCATTCCACATCTCCTGCGTCAAGGCTCCAAGTTTCAGGTCCCAAATTTTATGACTATGGCACATATATCCTGCCCTAGTAACATTGCAGACTGCTAAAGTAAAAGGGCTTTTTAGGGTGAGCTGCATAGGACATGCCCCTGGCAACTAGGCATAGGGAATATCTGGGGACTTAATGATTTCTACATCTGATGTGATCTGCTGTGGGACTTACTATCTCCACCTAGACCAGCACAACCTTTAGTATTAGATCCTCTGAACTTTAATATATCTTTCAAGGTTTAGTTGAAACCAACCTGGCTAGTTTAAGCAGAAAGCAACCTGGCTAGTTTAAACAGAAAAGAATTCATATTAGGAATTAGGTAATACAAATTATCAGGGAGGCTGAGAATGACTTCAGGAATGACTCCAAACTGTCCCACCACGGTAGCTACCCATTTTTGCCACAATCAGGAAGGTAAGAAATCAGGACATCATCACTGTACCTATTAAGCTCAACAACACACTGCTGTGGCTGTGATTCAGGAATTGGCAGTCACCATTGCTGTCCCTGAAACAGCCTCTCAACCCCCACAAGGCTAGTGACTAGACCCTGCAACCCTGCTGTAGAGACTCCTCGTACCTCTGCTGCCATACTTCAGCAGCAAGCAGCAGGTGGGTGGCCTCCACCTCATTTCACCTTCCAAATCTTGGCCGTGACTTTTTAACTCTCCAGATTCTGCAGCACAGGAAGGGACACTAGAAGGAGATGGGAATGGATACTGAGTGCCAATTGACAATCCCCAGCATACCCAGCAGCATGAATGGCACAGCAACGTGTCACTGAATCTAAAACTTAGAACCTCCAGAATACAAAGTAGAGAATTGAAAATTGCTGGCTGGGCACAGTGGCTCATGCCTGTAATCCCAGCACTTTGTGAGGCCGAGGCAGGTGGATCACCTGAGGTCAGGAGTTTGAGAGCAGCCTGGCCAACATCGCGAACCCCCCCACCCTAGCCACTAAAAATACAAAAATTAGGCTAGGCGTGGTGGCTCATGCTTGTAATCCCAGCACTTTGGGGGGACAAAGGAAGGTGGATCACCTGAGGTCAGGAGTTTGAGACCAGCCTGGCCAACACAAAACCCCTCTCTACTAAAAATACAAAAAAATTAGCTGGTAGCTATAGTCCCAGCTACTCGGGAGGCTGAGGCATGAGAATCACTTGAACCCAGAGGCAGAAGTTACAGTGAGCAGAAATGGTGCCACTGCACTCCAGTCTGGGTGACAGCAAGACCACATCTCAAAAAATAATAATAAGTAAATAAAAATAAAAATATAAAAATTAGCTGGGTGTGGTGGCACCAACTGTAATCCCAGTTACTTGGGAGGCTGAGACATAAGAATTGCTTAAGCCTGGGAGATGGAGGTTGCTGTGAGCTGAGATGGCACCACTGCACTCCAGCCCGGGTGACAGAGCAAGACTGTCTAAA